TCCCTACTCTGGCCCTATCTGAAGCCACAAGCCACTTGTTGAAATCACAAGCCCCCTCCCTAGGCCAGCCCCTTCCTTTATATAGAGGGCATGACATCAGTATGGTATCAAATATCCCATTGGCTGGTTCAGTTGTTTATCCCGGCTGTGGCCCCTCCCAGCTGCTTGTGAACATTAACCATATCCTAGCCGAACCCAGGACAACAAGAAGAATAAACTGCTAGGCTAAAATATAATGTTTTGGAGCCATTTTGATCTTTACTGCACAGTCTGTGTTAAACATGTCTTTGCTAACCCAGTTATCCTGTTACCTTAGATAAGGGGGAGTTGGCTGTTTTCATAGATGAAATTGCCTCCTCCTTCATATCCTTTTTCTATTACATCTTAGCACTCTCTCCCCATCAATACTGTCTTTGAAAACAACAAAGAACTTTCCATTACACACATACGCACACTTTATTTCCACCAAGTTTCTGTTTCTGTATAGAAATTATTCCAATTTTTCAACATTCAGTTCTGTGAGGCCTTTTGATCCTGACTGAAAACTGCTTATAATAATCTTTTATGATATATACTCATTTCCTGGCCCAGAATTGTGACTCCAGCTTTCTCCTTTACACTCAATTTCCTGCAATATATATCAAGACAAAATTTTAGTTGTCTTGGCAAAACAATATCTTTAAGCAAATAGGTTGCCAAGTCTCATTGGAACTTGCTATGTTAGATGGGCAAAGCAATCAATGAATTGCAACATAGACACCCAGTAATAGTCACAATTTAGATAACTGAAAAAATTAACTCTGTGTTCCATTATGAAAGTATAAAACTTATTTTTATTTATTCTTATTTCCCTGACTTTGCTTAAAAGGACAAATGCCCTGTAAATTTATATTTTTAAATGTTTGCTTGTGTCTTTGCCAGTTTCAGGCACAGTTTGCATGTAATTCAAAGAAATCATTAGAATAATGCTATAACAGAATTGTATATGATAGTTTGAGTGTTTGCTTGTTTTACAAAACATCTATATGATAGTGTTTAACTTGCAAATGTATAATTTTGAGCTATTAAAAGTAAAGGTTTTATGCTTATAATAAAAAAGCATTTCATTTCTAGCTTCTCGTAAAAGACACAAAAAGGATAGGGATGAAGCTTGGGAATATGAAGAACATGACAGAAGAAGTTCTGGTGACCATCGGAGAAGTGGTTATTATCATGAAGGAAGAAGGACTTCTGGTAGTGGCCGTTACCGTAATCGCAGTCCTGATGACTCTGATATGGATGATTATTCTTCTCCTCCTAGCCTCAGTGAGGGTAACTGATTGTTTTAAAAAATGTATTTTCTTCCATAATACTTGTGTATTTAAAAAGGATATGTTAAACATTTTAAAATAAACATCTTTACATGCAGTATTGAATATAAGCATTAGAAATGTAAACAATCCTTTATTCTCTTAATTAGTGGCTCGAAAAATGAAGAAAAAAGAAAAACAAAAGAGGAGGAAAGCTTATGAACCTAAACTAACACCTGAAGGTAATTTTAGAAGCTTTTTTTCCTACAGTTTGTATTTTCTGTTTTGTATATAAAATAATTATATATACATTTCTTTTTTTCACCAGAAATGATGGATTCTTCAACTTTCAAAAGATTTACTGCTTCAATAGAGAATATTTTGGAAAACTTAGAAGACATGGATTTTACAGCTTTTGGTAATATGTCAGAAATTTTCAGAATTCTTCCCCCAGTTAGAAACACAAGAAAAAAAAAAAAAATTCCATCTAATTTTTTTCAAACTTCCTTCTTTGTGATTTAATTGCCTGTAATACATGCTACAGTATACTGCATTTATATGGCTTTTACCTTGAGCGGAGGCCTTTACCTTTCCAATTTCACTTGCTGCTACAGGAAGAAGATTCTCCTTCTTCCTCCCTGCAGAATCCAAAAGGGACATAAATCACGAGACAAATAATAGCCCCCTGGAGTGGAAAGGATACCTCTTTGTGATGTCATTAGGATGCTATCTTCTGCCAAACATATCTTTGTAAAAAACACTGACATATGATGGTTCTCTTACCAGTAATGTCTGAGGCACATAATTTTGCATCTGTTACGACCTTTGACCCAACAGAGCTTGTATACTCTTGAATAGAGTTTGAATAGACAAACTTGAATAGAGCTTGAATCATTGTATACTCCTGATCCATTTCAGTGGAAAATAAGACAACTTAGCATAAGTGTCTGACAAAGTAGTTCAGGTTCACAAAGATGATTTTTTATTGAAATGGATAATGGAGCATTTGTAAATTTTTTTCCTACCATCTTTGTCATGAGATTAGAACAAGCAGAGGAGCATAGTAAACAAATTACTACAACAATGGGATCTACAACATTGGGTTAAAAAGTGAAGTAAATGGTTCTTTCTGTATGTCTTGTAACATCATGGATTTTTTTGTAAGGATAAATGTGATTAAGACACAGTGTATCCCAAGGTACTTAATTTCCTATATGTTTTTCATTTATTGCCCTTCCCCAGATTTGAACTTTAGCATTAGGACTACAATCACGTAAGATTTGTTTTACTGAAATGAGGGCAATAGCACAAGAACTGCAATAAATGGATTTTGCTATAATAAAAATAGTTTTGATTTATAACTTTCAGTCATATTTAATACAACAAGTAGTCATTTTAACACAACCAAAAGTTGTCATCATCAGTCTTCATGGATGCTAGCTATTTGGATAATCTGGGTTTTTTTCTTCAGTTGGATTTTTCATGTTGGCTGTAGAATAATGATTTTCTTGAAGTCTTATTACAAATATGATTGTTCAAATTTTACTTGTTTTTTTAAGGTGATGATGATGAGATTCCACAGGAATTGCTACTGGGAAAGCATCAGCTTAGTGAGTTGGGTAGTGAATCTGCAAAAATCAAGGCAATGGGCATTATGGACAAGGTACATCTTCATGGTGTTTAACTCATTTTGAACATTTAATTTTGTTAAACATACAAAAACTTGTGTCCCCTGTAATATTTTACTGTCTTCAGGTGTGCATGTGACATACTGTGAACAGTTGTGCTCCTTCCGACTTAGCTGAAGTGCTTAAAACATTACCACATCTTAACTGTTACTGTCTCTGAAGTTGAGACAATTTGTTGAATAGTCCTCTCTGTTAGCACTGACCTGGAGCACTACATGCCAATAGGTATGTCTGAGCAGTAAAATCTAAAATAATTAATCTACTTTCACAAAGGCACATCAACTTATAGGCTTTCCTCCTTACAGCTAGTGTTGAGCAACCATAGTAAAACAGAACCTGCTGACAAAGTAAAAAACTCCACCCTTGCTGATATATGCCTCTAGTGCAATGCAAATGTATGATGTCCAGCTAGCATCACACTGAATTCATAGAATCATAGAATGTCTGGGCTGGAAGAGACCTCCAAAGGTCATCTAGTCCAACCCCCCTGCCATAAGCAGGGACATCTCCAACTAGATCAAGCTACTCAAAGCTTCATTGCCTACTTCCTTGCTCTCTCCAAAGAGTCCCTTCAAATTTAGAAGATTTAATGCCCCAGGAGATAATAAGATGACTTTTCTGTAGACGGCATCTTATGGTTTCTTTGCCATACTCTTCCTGATTTCAGTTCAAGGGAACTTTTTGTTGGCACAAACTGTAGGTATCACACCTAGAAACAATGTTCTTGCTTTCCTTATCTTCCTAGAACTCTTGGCTTTGGGCAGTCTTGTGTTAAATTCTTACTTTGCCTGCTCATGATCACTTACTATGTTTATGAAGTGTCTGGGAAGCCACTCATTGTACAAGTCACTCTGAAGGGTTTTCTTTATTCCAAGATTTAGATATTCTTTATGTATTTTTCTTCAATCTCCCTACCTTCCTTTGTAGCATGTTATCAGCCTGAGTGTTTCTCTTTCCTGATAGTTCTCACCCTTAACCTCTGTTCCCTGTTTTTTTCCACATACATACATGTATACATAAAATTAGAATTTTGTTGCTTCTAAAGGTGAACACCAATAGTATCTGGATGAATGAAATTGGCTCTTGGGGAGTTTAGCATATTCTACAGATTATTTAATCATAATTCTGTAGAACATCAGTAAGTGAGTTTGAATTACTTTTTTACAACATGTTAGTTTTTCAAAGTTAATGCAGTTATTAAGAATATGTTTCCTTTTTATTAGCACTCAAGTATCGGAATTTTATTTCTGCTTGTCCATAGAATTTGGATTTTCTCTTAAAGCTCTATATGATCAGATAGAATTTGTGATTGATACTTCGATTTGGTAAATTTATGTTTCTAGAAGCAAAAATGTGTAACTATACAATATTAATTACAGATATGCAGTTGTAAATACATTTCTATGAATTTTGCAGGTTTAAAATGCAGTTTGATTGCAGTCTCAGAACATATTTCACTAGTTTAATTGTATTATCACCATTCTCAATCATGCTGTGTCAGAAACCAGACAAGTCAAGATCCAATCCTTATTTCAGTTTATTTACATTTTATGTTTGTCAGATTACATAACATCTTCTGTCCTTCATCCATGGATGTGTTTTTCTGCAATTTGGAAGCCTTTATGTTCCTACACTTATTTGATGTGTTTTGTTTCTTGCTTTAGCTCTCAACAGATAAAACAGTAAAGGTCCTAAATATTTTGGAGAAGAATATTCAAGATGGATCAAGGCTTTCTACATTACTTAACCATGTGAGTTTCAAATTACAGTTTCACACCATTGCATGTAATAGGGTTTTCTTCTTCACTTGAGTCCCATGTAGCGATAGTTTTAAATACTTTGTGTGTGTGTGAAAGGAATTCCTGATTTAATGATTAAGAGATTGCTAAGCTTTCAGATTTGAAGTAAAATTCAATTGATTATATTCTTTCAGTACTAAACATGTTTTACTCTAGTACTGACAACTAACAGACTTATTGGAAATGGTCTTTTGACATAATTTTAAATATAGTTTCATCCTGAAATATTCATGGTAAATGGTGTAACTTGCACCATTGGACATTCTTTGCTACTTTTCTACATGTCCATAAAACATCCCTTACACAATGTAAGAAGTATTACAGCTTTTGTGTAGAGCACATTCTTCTCCTGAGCATTAAATGCTTTATTTAGATCTGCTCTTGTGATGCAAAGTTGAAGTTATCAACATAAAAAAAATTAACAGGAAGTTTAAAATGTTAGGGTTTTTTTTCTGATATATGTAAAACTACAAGGGGATTTTGGAGTTTTTTTATGATGATGAAATTGATATTACACACTTTTATATATTTAGTTCTACACTTTCTAGTCAAAACAATATTCTTGCAAGAATTGAATTTTATGGAAAAAAAAACCTTGATCTGCAGAAATAGAGAGTAATTCTGTATATTTGAAAAGAAAAATTTGAATTTGAAAACCAGGGACACGTTATTTGTAACTAAATATTTTCATCTAGATAGTTTGTTTGGTTTTCAAATTTTCAGTATAGGATTCTGAATTTACCTGCTCTAATTCAGTGTGATTGAGTCTTTATGCCGATGCCTTTAAAATTATATTTTTATTTTAGCTTTTTGTAGTAAAACTCAAGATTATTAAGCAGTTAATGAAACTGTCCAATTATAACAATTGAGATACAAAGTGTTGATTAAAAAAGAAGTAGTCTTTAGCGAAACAAGTTTTAGATTTTTCTTAAAACCCATTAATATGAAAAAGAAAAAGACAAAAACAAAGAAAGCCTTAGTTCTTTTACAGTGCAGTGAAAATATCCTACCTCCATGTAAGGATATTTTCCAGAGGCAGATTGCATTTGCAGATTTTTTTATTTCCAAGATGAATGAGGGGAAAAAAAAAATTAAACTACTTGGCTTTAAATAGATAATAGATCAGTTAGGCTGTGAAGTGGAGAAAGTTGTATTCTCATGAGTTTCCTGTGACTTGATGGTCTTTTTGTGTAACAATTCCTTCTAGCAGCAAAAATCAGACTGATCAAAACAGCAATTGGTGTGTATAAGTCACTGAAGAAAACACTAGATAATCAGTTTAGATTTTGATTAAGATACATCATTCTTAAGTAGAGAAAGTGGCAGTCTTCCTTCATAGTGCTTCCTGATGATACACAGAAAGCTTCGTGTTTTACCAGAAGAGATATTGAAGACTTGTAATTTAGGGTTGCAAAACTGTTGCTAGTAAAACAAACATTAGTTGATTTCTAAAACAAGCTGGTTTTGTATCATAAAGGAAATATGACATTTTGTATATGTGTGTATGCAAATATATTAAAATGTTATCTTTTACTTATTAAGTATAAAAATCTGACACACTATCATGTTTATTGTTTCCTGTTATAGAACAATGACACTGAAGATGAGGAGAGATTATGGAGAGATCTTATTATGGAAAGTCTGCTGATGCTTGTCTTACTGCTATCAATATTATGACATCACCAAATATGCCTAAAGCTGTATATATTGAGGACGTAATAGAAAGAGTTATTCAATACACAAAATTTCATTTGCAGAACACTCTCTATCCTCAGTATGATCCTGTGTATAGAGTGGATCCTCATAGTGGTTAGTATGCTTGATGTTTTGCATTTAGCATTTTTTTGTCATACACATACCTTCAGATAGTAAGGAAGCATAGTGCCCATCTTTACATAGAAATTGAGATTCTTCATACGTAGTCCAAGCACTCTCAGCGGCTCTACACTGGGTCTGTAAAATAAGGTTCTACACTATCTGGTCATTCTTGCAAGTAACACTTATTTGCAGGGAGATGTTCCCATTTTTCTTGCCCAGGCTTCATGATTAAGATGGTATTATCCTTCCCTGCAGCTATTACTTCAGCTGGTTCAGGAGGGCCACTTGGCCCTTGGACCCATACTTTTGCTCCATTACTGAAATTGGTAGATCCAAACCCTTTATCCCCACATACAGTGGTAGCTTGGGGCGGTTCCCCCCTCCTCACCATTGTTTTTAAAACCGGCAATAACAATAACTGTGCTATTCTATCATGGGATTGAAAAACCAAATCTTATTCACCCTTATTTAGCAAGATGACCTTAATTTCTCCTTGATAGTCTGCATCAGTCACTCCTCCCATGACATGAACACCCTTCAGGGCTAAGTTTGAGCGATCAGCTATCAGGCCAAAGTGTCCTGGGGGAATCTGGATTCCTATCCCAGTGTTAATAACTCTCGTCTGGTTTTGACTTACTGCTATCAATTCTAATGCATAAGGATATAGCCCAGCAGCCTCTGGAGTGGCCTGGTAGGGGGCCATTGCACCCGGGACAATTTCCCAGTAAGTCAAAGTTGCACTACCCGTTAGAGGCTGAATCTGCAAATTGGGCGTAGTCATGTGCAGCCAACTCTGTGAAAGTTGTAACTGAAGACGTTTATTTTAGTTACAAGCCCTGCTTATATAGTATACAAAGTTGTCCACGCACCCCGCTTCCCAAGCTAATTGGTTACAAACTACTGTCCATGTGCTTAAGTCCCATTTGCAATTTGTTCTCCAGCTGTCATCACGCTCTTTGTTGTTTTTCTCTTGGTTCCTTCTTATCTTGGTTGTCTGCATTCCTTTTCCTTCCTATCTCTCGCTTTGTTGTCATCTTCTTCTTTATTTAACATTCTTGGTGTTCGCAGCTGCACTTCAAGGTCCCTGCCTGCAGCCTAGTGGCTCAGCTTAAATCTATACAATAATCATGTCCATTTTCCTCCAGAAATGTTCCCACAATTCCCTGTTAGAGGCTGTATTTGCAAATTGGGCATAGTCATGCACATCAAGGGAGTCTCCATCTCCTCAAAGGATCTATTGTTGAGAGTATGTAGTGCTTCTGTGAGATGAGTTCTCCACCTGGACAGGTTTCCACCTCTTATCTTCTTTAACTGCTCCTTTAATAGCTCATTCCTCCATTCAATCAATCCTGCAGATCCTTGGTCCCTGGGTAAAGGTCCAATGTAGTTCATCTGCCAGATTTGTCCTGGCAATATCCCTCTCCCCAGTTCTTCAGTTACGATGTCACATTATTTCCTTAAGTTCTTTCCCAGGATACAGGTCAGAATACAGCCGCCAATTGTCCTTCTCCCCTGGAACAGCTGATCCATCTGCAGGGAGCTTTCCGTGGGCAAATGCGGAGTCCTGTTGAGTTTCCAGAGGAGGTGCAGAAGGCTGAACTGCTGCTGAGTTGTTCGCCTTATACCTATGCACTTTTCTTCAGGGATTATGTAACCCTCTGTTCTTGTATCATCCCCATAGTTCCTGGGTTTCAGTACCATCAGTTTTGCTGTGGGGTACTCCATCCTTTAACAAAGCTGCAAACATCTCCCCTTGAGAGATTCTATGTTGGCTAGTCCGATGGCATTGGGTTTCTCGGTTTTCATTTTCACAGGGGCCCCATTGATGTCAGGTATTTTGATTTCTTTCAGTCTCTCAGGGGCCCCATTGTCCAAGATCCCGCAATTGTATTTTATCAATTACTTCTCTGATGGACTTCCCCATCTCGTTAAGTAAAGGCGTCATCAGTCTATGTTTATAGGCTGGTGGAGCAGTTCTAATAATGGTATTTATCATAGAAACCATGAATGCAAATTGCATTAAGACATCAGCTCAGGCAGCAAAGATAGCTAATTTCATCCCTTCGTCTTTCACACTTCTTTTTTTGAATCCTGTCTCACAGAGTGTACCACAGCTGGTCCAATCCTGGCCAGGCATTCTCTGTCATGTATTTATTTCTACATGCCACAGTGGCCAAGGCCAACAAATTAGTTACTTGATTGTTGTTCTGAAATGCATCTTGCACAAAGGAATCGGAACTCAGCATTACAAATTTCCTGGAGTCACCCTCATCGAGAATAACCCCTGATGCTCCCTGATCCTATAGGCACACCAGCCACAAGATTAGTGGCTCTCCTGGCTGTTGTTTAAATTGCTCAATGATGTCATTTACTTCTTGTTGTGTATAATCTTCTAATGCATCTTTTCTCAGCAGGCACCTGTTCTTATCCAATTCTGCCCTTCGCATATACACTGTCTTACATCACGAGGCTTGCTTGATCTTCTAATCACTTCCCACCCAAGGCTGGCCAGGCTTGGTGAAAACCAATCAGGAGGGTCTTTTTTGCCTGGTTATGGACATCATCCATATGCCATTCCTCATTCAGTGATGGGGGTTTAACCCCAGCACTTCAAAGATGGGTGTCTTTCTAATATTTGATGTAAGTGAAACACTGAAAAAATCAGTAAAGATATTTTTTTATTTTCTAGGTGGTGTTTTAAGTTCAAAAGCAAAACGTGCCAAGTGTTCCACCCACAAGCAAAGAGTCATAGTGATGTTGTATAACAAAGTTTGTGACATTGTCAGCAGTTTGTCAGAGTTGCTAGAGATACAGCTTCTTACCGATACAACTATTCTTCAGGTAAGTTTTATCTTACATGAAGAATTTCTCTCTGAGAATGTTTGTTTTTTTTTCCCCAGAAAGACTGTAAAGTGTGATTGTCTCAGTGACATGAGGTATGAAATCAGTACAAACTTTTGCATTTTTAACATCAGTGACTGTTTTGTTGTGTAGTGTGTAATCTGCAGGAGAGGAGCATTTAATGTTCAAATCTGTAATGGCTTTTATTGTACACTTAAGAAAAGGTTAGCCTGATTGCATTCAAATATCTTTTAATAATTTTATTTGAAAATGCTATGAAGTAATAATACATGTTGTTGAATACCTTACCTTTTGAATGGATGACCTACTCAAGAAACTGCATAAATATCAGTTTTTGAGTCAAATATACTTACAATATCTTCTTTCCGTTGATAGGTATCATCTATGGGAATAACACCTTTCTTTGTAGAAAATGTCAGTGAACTACAGTTATGTGCCATCAAATTAGTGACTGCAGTAAGTAATTTTTAATTTGCAATTTCATGTTCCTGTACTTCTGGGAGATATTAGGGCATTTACATAGGCTGTATTTTTGCTGGTAGAAAACTGGAGTTTAGAACTAATTTTATTCTTGCATGTTTTTACAGTTTGGTATCATAATCTAGGAACAGTATTAAAGCTACTTGAGCTCCTCCTATTTGCAGAGTACTTTATAGGAAGAAATAGCCTATTAGAGCCAAGAAATTAACTTAATTTTTATTATGATGTTTAAAGTGTAAACATAAACACCTTCCTCTCACCTGTCCTTTCTTGTCTTAAGAAATCTTAACAATATGGTTTTCCTTATTTCCTTTGTTAAGATTTGAATTTATGCAATGGAATAAGCTAGTAGGATACTTCTGTATAATAGAATACACTTTTCCTCAGAAGAGGTGGCTATGAGAAAAATTCATGGAGCAGATAAAATATTATTTCAGGAAAACTGCAATGCAACATAGATGTGCTTGTTCAAGTGGAAGTTTTCCATCTTTGTAAGGGTGACGTACTCCAGTATTTATAAAAGTAATTCTACCTAAACAAAAGGAGAGGCAAACTGTACAATCCTGACCCTGTAAATTGAAAGAAAATTTCATGTTAGGCAAACAAACATTAAATCTTCCGATATGAAGTAAAACTGGTCTCTCAAATATGCTGTAAAACCATACATGCGTTCATGTTAATTGATGTTACCATAGAGTTTTGCTCTATACTGGAGTTTGAAAACTTAGCATTACACCATTTGACTTTAAGAGCTATTACACATTTATACTATTTGATGATTTTAAAAAAAATTATATTTTAAAATGTTTTAAATATTTTATAAAGAAATGTTTGCTTTGAAAAACCAAAGCAATGCATTGAAAACAACTTGTGCATTAAATATAATTTAAATATCATGTTAAGTGTATGTTTATATCATTTTTAATCTACTTAAGAGATTTTATGTAACAATAAATATTTTAACAATCCTGTAACTGTTAAATAGGTGTTTTCCAGGTATGAAAAACATAGACAGTTAATACTAGAAGAAATTTTCACTTCCCTTGCGAGACTACCAACTACCAAGAGGAGTTTGAGAAACTTCAGGTAATTTCTGACAGATTAATAATTTTTTTACAAGTAGCATTTACAGTTTTGTAGATGTAAGATTTTAGGCTTCAGTAATAACTTATTCTTTAAAAATCTGTTACTCAGCAAGCTGCACTTTGTTGATTTTTCAAAACCTCTACAGTGAGAACAGACTTGCCAGACAAATGTATTTTGTAATAATGACTCTCTTATGCCATCATATTTATGCTTGCTTACAAATTAATTGAAATATCTTATTATTTGTCTCACTAAGGTGTAAATGAATGTAATATTAGTGTGCATTCAAAGGGGTTTTATTGGAAAATTCTTTGGTTCTGTTTATATGGATTTTATATAATTTTTTCATTGCCTAAAGCTTTAATAGGAAAATTCTGGCTGAATTTGAGGACACACTCGGAGTACTCGTTCCATAAAATCTATCCAATTCACCTTTGAATGAGTTTCATTTAGGAGCTACTCAGTTCACTTTAACTGTCTTTTAAGTGCTTCAACCGGATTTCAGTGCATCTTCTGAATAGTAGTATAGATTCAGGTTCAATTTGAGAAAGAATCTGACCTGAACTGGATTTCAGCTAAAATTGAGGTTGGACACTTTAAATTATTCTAAAACATTTGTTGTTGGTGTTTTGTTCCTTGCTTACATACATCTTTTCCCCAGAGACAGACAGATTGTAAATGAAATAGGTTGTCTGCTCCAGGGTGAATGAATAGGAAATATCCAGGAAAAGAAATTTACTGGAAGTTTGAAATTTAATTTAGCAACCCTAATGTTAATATGAGTGATTGTTACTAGTTTTTCCTATTGTTTTGGTTATAGACATCAGAGAGATCTAGCAAATAGGAAGGTGGTAGGCATAGGAGCATAAATGGTAAATAGCCTCTTTGAATTAGGACCTTTACTAGAAGTCACTATCTCAAGGCCACAACTGCACTGTTTAGAGTCCTAGCTCTGGTCTGTTGAAGGAGATTCCCTGTCTGTGACTACAATCATGAAGGGTACAGCTTACCTAAAATTTGTTATGAAAAGATTTTCTCTGTACCAGTAGTCAAAGATAACTTCATAAAGATAATAATTGCAATCTGATTTGTGCCCAGTTATTATTTTGATAATTTCGTGAGAATGATGTCAGAGATGATAATCTTTTCATATTGTTAAGGGTAGCATTAAGTGGTGTTGATGTACATATGAATGGTAAACACCATACTATTATTTGTCATGTTAAATCACTTGGAAGGGGAGAAACGTGAGGTGGAGTGTATTCATACTGGTCATACCAACTTAAAGACGCTCCTGCATGCTGAAGTTTATAGTTTATAGTCAGTCCAGGTCAAGGTCACTATTTTCTTTTGTTTAAAAGTCCTGCACATTTCACATATATTAAAAAAATATATGTGATAAATTAGGACAAGTTCAGTCTATATTTTTTAGTGTTGTGCTGGAAATGCTTATGGCATTATAAATAATAAGCCTATTAGTAAGTGCCTTAGCATGTAGGTGTTTGATTTATTAAATATTTGTTGATTTTTCACCTTCTGAACTTCACAGAAACTCTGATAGCCCATCTTTGAGCTATTTCAGTTCATCTCTTCAACCTGAGAATAATATTTACTGTTTTTGTTAGACCAAATCTTTCACTGCATAAGAGAAGCAAATGACTAGATGAATATCTAGAACACAGATTTCTAATTGTGGTAATAATTAGAAAGATGTTATTTAGGACCAAAACTTTTTGTTTTGTTTAGTCTTTTTTGTTTAGTTTTAGTGTTAATGCTGTCTTCTTATTAACAGGTTAAACAGCAGTGACACTGATGGAGAGCCTATGTATATTCAGATGGTAACAGCACTAGTTCTGCAGCTTATTCAGTGTGTAGTGCATTTGCCATCAACAGAAAAAGATTCTAATTCAGAGGAGGAATCAAACAAAAAAGTAAGATTTTTTTGAGAGACAATTTTTTTGCATGCGGGAATGACTTTGTAGGTATATTTTATGGTGATGCTCTAGTAATTAAGCATTGTAATTTTATGTCTGCTGTGTAATAATTTGATTAATGAGAAATGCTGATCTGGAAATCATGTTTCTGTGTATGCTAACATATTAGACAAATAAATCTTGTTATTTTTAGGTGGATCAAGATGTGCTTATTACTAACTCATATGAAACAGCCATGAGAACAGCACAAAACTTCCTTTCTGTTTTCCTTAAGAAGTAAGTACTGGTGCATTCTTTAGCATATTGATGAAACCAAGTCCAAGTAAAATCTGTCACACCTTAAGACAAACCAAACCACTTCACAATGCTAAGTGCCTACTAATAAAGCTACTTATAGCAATATATTTTATAGATCCCTAAGAAAGCTACCTATCTGGACCAAAATTTTTATGGAACAGAAATTCTGCAGTTCTTTATACATTTAAGAATCTGTCTGATAGTTTATGTAGGATCCTTTTATCAGAGGATCCTTTTACTCATCTGAAGCATGGAAGAGAAGGCTGAATAAAAATTTAAATGATGAAACCAGATTCTTTTAGTCATCAGAATGACAAAGATATATAAAAGAAAATACTTTCATTTAGATAAATTTAGGAATGTCAGTAGCTCAACAGGGAAAAAAAGATATATACCTGAATAACCAAAGAATTTGTAACAAGAAGTCTTGATGTTTTAATCATGAGTTAGTTTCTACTCTTAAGCCGAAAGGCTATTTACGAGCCATCTAGCCATGTCTCTGCATAGTTCTGGAATCAGTTAAAACTAGGGATGCCACATATAAGTGAAACACACTCATGTATGTTATCTTTTTATTTTTAACATTCTGATTTTAACCTTTGTGGAGCATAATACTGGGATGTCTTATCAATGTGAGATAAGTCAGGCCAGGTTTAAGAACACAACACCTCCTAATTACCCCAATCTAGCTTGAGCTCTAGAATTTTACCTACTTCATCCATCCAAGTTAATGCAGACTTGCCCAAAAGATAAATAAAAAAATCTTATGAACAAAATTCTACTATCCTGGATTAGCTGTTTTACTTGCAGCGATAGCAGTTTATTTATTCATAAATAGAAAAAAACCAATTTTTCTGCTAATATTTCAATTATATTTTTTAGAATTGCATAAAACTGTTTTTCTGGTTAAACATAGGATTAATTCTGTTTGCATCGGAAGTAAAGCTTAGATGACTCGTAATTTCACTTACAAAATGCATTTTCTTCTAAACAGGTGTGGCAGTAAACAAGGGGATGAAGATTACAGACCACTGTTTGAGAACTTCATTCAAGATCTTCTTTCCACCGTCAATAAACCAGAATGGCCAGCTGCAGAGTTGCTACTTAGCTTATTAGGAAGGCTATTGGTAAGGGATTTTTGGTTTTAACTATTATATTATGTCTTATTATAATGGAACTTGTTTATTTCAGCTCAAAACTATTACAGGAATGCTTTCCAATTGTTGAAACACATGCAGCATTTAAAGATTCTCTTACATATATCACTATTATGGAATGCATAGTAAATAAAATTTAGGTCAGAAGATTGTTGATATGGGACTTATAAAGGTCATATGTCTACAGTTTCCCATGGAAGTCCACTTCTATTCCATGACATTTTCCACGTTAAAAAATGCCATTGTATAGCATCTAATAAGTATAGATATTCACTGTGAATAAAGCCAGACTAATAGCTGTAATTATTCATGTTAAATACATCTCTGGACTATTCCTTTAGCACAGAACCTGAAAATAATTAAGTAGTTTGGTCTTTTACCAGTAATAGTACATTTACTTATGAAATGTGATATTTTGCCAATGAAAATATTCACATTCCATGTATGTTTTTTGAGAGATGTTCTTCAGTATTACAATGTAATTAACACAGTAATTTGAGCTGCTTCTTCAAAAAATATTTTATGTTCATGTTCCTGATAAAATGTAGCTTTCTTGATACTTGTGTGAATGAGGAAGTTGCATTATGGTGCTTAAGATCTATGCTATTGCAAAGGATATCTGCTCTACTAGATGTCCATTTTATTTTAGATAAAACATTTTAAAAAAACCTCTAACAGGCATATTTGGAGAGAGAGAAAAAATTAATGTAAAGTAAAGAGGGTATCTGTGATGTAATAGTAAATTGCATGATTTTATGCAGCATGAAAGTTAGGTGGAATTTTTAATAAGGTCAAGCAATGTCTTGTGAGAAGAATCTGTTACATAAATAAATAGGTTTTTATAACAGTTTATTCTGCTTTTCTTAGGTTCACCAGTTCAGTAACAAATCTACAGAAATGGCATTAAGAGTTGCATCACTTGACTATCTTGGAACTGTAGCTGCAAGACTCAGAAAAGATGCAGTCACTAGCAAACTGGATCAAGGATCTATAGTCAGAATCCTCAAACAGGTGTGTGAGAAATCCCATGCCAGCAGGATTGAGATGTATCAATTTAAAAATCTGAATATTTTCAAGATGTGTGAAAAACTGGCATTGTGGAGAATGAATTTTCACAGAACCACAGAATGTTAAAGGTTGGAAGGGACCTTGAAAGATCATCTAGTCCAATCCCCCTGCCAGAGCAGGACTACCTAGAGCAGGTCACATAGGAACATGTCCAGGTAGGTTTTAAATGTCTCCAGAGAAGGAGACTCCACAGCCCTTCTGGGCAGCTTGTTCCAGTGCTCTGTCACCCTCACTGTGAAAAAGTTTTTCCTTATGTTTCTGCAGAACCTCTTATGTTCCAGCTTGCACCTGTTGCTCCTTGTCCTATCATTGAACTTCACAGAGAAGAGCCTGGCTCCAACCTCCTGACACTTGCCCTTCACATATTAATAAACATTAATGAGATCACCCCTCAGTCTCCTTCTCTCCAGGCTAAAGAGACCCAGCTCCCTCAGCCTTTCATCATAATGGAGATGCTCCACTCCATCATCTCTGTGGCTCTGCACTGGACTCTTTCAAGCAGTTCCTTGTCCTTGAACTGAGGGACCCTTAACTGAACACAATATTCCAGATGCATTCTCATTAGGGCAGAGTAGAGGGGAAGAAGAACCTCCCTCGACCTACTAACCACACCCCTTCTAATACACCCCAGGATGTCATTAGCCTTCTTGGCCACAAGGCTGCATTGCTGGCACATTTTCAGTTCATTTTCAGTTTTCATTGTTCAGATTTCTGAATCAAATACACTCAATTTATAAGTATCACATTTGTAAACTCAAGTCTCTCTCACATCATCTCCCTAATGTATATATGAAGCTGTTAATTACAATCATAAAACCAATTTTATTGTGACAATGTAGAGGAAATAATGGAGCAACAGTGTCCTGGTTTGAGTTAGAACAGAACTAGTTCTGCTCAGTTTTTAGCTAAGTCTAACTACACTTAAAATCATAGAATCATTAAGGTTGGAAAAGTCCTCTAAGATCATCAAGTCCAACCATCAACCCAACGCTACCATGGCCACTAAACCATGCACCAAAGTGCTATGTCTACATGTTTTTTGAACACCTCCAGGGATGGTGACTCCACCACCTCTCTGGGCAGCCTGGTCCAATGCCTCACCACTCTTTCAGTAAAGAAATTCTTCCTGATATCGAATCTAAACCTCCCCTGGTGCAACTTGAGCCCATTTGCTCTCATCCTACTACTAGTTACTTGGGAGAAGATACCAACACCCACCTCACTACAACCTCCATTCAGGTAGTTGTAGGGCACAATAAGGTCTTTCCTCAACCTCCTCTTCTCCAGGCTAAACAATCCCAGTTCCCTCAGCTGCTCTTCCTAAGACATGTTCCCCAGATACTTCATCACCTTCATTGCCCTTCTCTGGGCCCACTGCAGCAGCTCAACGTCTTTCTTATACTGTAGTACCCAAACCTTGTACTCAGTTCTGAGCTGTGGCCTCACCAGCGCCGAGTCCAGGATCATGACCACTTCACTACTGCTGCTGCCTACACTATTTTCCATAGAATCATAGAATGTCTCGGCTGGAAGGGACCTCCAAACGTTATCTAGTCCAACCCCTCTTCAATAAGCAGACATTTCTAACTCAGATCAAGCTACTCAGAGCTTCATTTAGCCTGACCTTGAATGTCTCCAGGGATGGGGCCTCCACCACCTGTCTGGGCAACTTATTCCAGGGATATATCACCCTCATACTGAAGAACTTCTTCCTAATGTCTAAATGAAATCTGCCCTTTTCTAGCTTAAAGC